TGTAAGGAAGAGAATCTCCCACATCTTGGAATAAACGCGGCACTGCTTAGAGAGCTAGCAACACCCTCCTTTCCCACCTTCAGGGTAGACACACATTTTTCCCAGGAAAGATTCTTAATACGGCATTAGGGTCTTTGACAACCTCTTGGAATTTTCTTTACTTTGAGTAAATTAAGCAAGCAAGAGAGGAAGCACCTGAAACATATGACATAGCAGTTTACTGGGGAACATTAACCTTGGCTTTATTCGTATTTGGAAATAAATGCTTGAAGACGTGAATTTATCTTAATGTGGCAACAGAGAAATAATGTAAAGTTTAAAATCCTTAGCCCACCCTTACCCCGGGTGGAGAATCACGCTTTGGATGCCAGCAGCCTGCTGGCTCTGTTACGAAGGAAGGCATGTTTCTACCCCAATTGCCTGAATTTTTACAAACCAAAATAAAACAAATAGATCAGTCTAGATACATAACCCCCAGCCTAGTGTGTGTGCAGCATGACAAAACTTGCAGAAGCTCTTCACAGAGAGAAAAGGATGGAGACCGATATCTTTGGAGCGCCCTCAGAGCTGGTACCTGCCACATAAACTGCCTCTGAGTGCTTTGAGAGTCAGCAAAACAGCCTCCTTATAACCTCATCAACTTTATAAGAAAGCTACTTGCAAAAGATTTCCACACTCGCAAGGATCACCAAGTCTGACCCGACTGCAATCCGAAGGAAACTTCCCTGCCTCAGAGTGTACTGAGGGGCTCTGACTCACGGCCGCCCCATGCCAACTTCACCTCTCAGAAAGGAGAGACAAGAGCCACATCCTGAAGAAGGGGCTGCTTGCATTTCTTTTCCTTTTCCTTTAAGCATCTCTGAAAAGGGAACAACTTTTCAGTCCTCCACTGCCTCTAAGCATCACCACCAGCGCAGGAAGTGGTTAAGGGAGTGAGGGCTTATCTTAAACAGGGATAATCATTTCTGCTCATCTGATTGTTTCTCCTCTAGGATCTAAAGCCCTGAAAACATCCAACTTTATCCCTTTTCTTTCCCACTGAAAATCAGAGACCAAAGGCGTTGGTAAAAATCTCCCCCACTCTACCATACAATGCCTAACCCTTTAGCTGAAACTTTGAAGAAAAATCAAATTTAACTTTTCTTTCTTTCTGCCATTTCCTCTTCCCCACCACTCCTAATTCAGACAACTTCATTCCCTTTTCTGAAACAAGCGGTTTCCGGGTTTGATTTTTGTGAAAACGTGCAATGTGTCTGTGTGATTTTTTTTCAGGGGCTGATGCTGGGAGGTGATGGGCTGGGGAGGAAGGCCCATCTTCCCAGGCTCCACAGGAGGCAGGAGGGTAGCCGGAGCATCCCCAGGAGCCCAAGCCTGAATCAGGGGCTAAAGCAGCAAACTTTGCAAGTTACAACCGGGCCGCCCCAGTGGCAGGCAGCCGCCGGGCATCTCCCGCTCCTAAGTACTCATTTCTGCCTCGAAGGCTGTGTGGAGATAGTGGGGTATAATCAGGGGAGTGAAAAGGGGGGCTGGGTTTTCCCCCTCCTCTCCAGCTTCAGTGAAAGTATTACAAAGTGAGTCAGGCGACTGAAGATCATCTGACTGAACTTTCTTGAAACCGACACACATTCTTGTCTTCGGGCAACTTGCTTTTTGCCTCCTTCCCCCTCACCCCTCTCCCCCTTCCCTCCTGCACATCTTATTTTCTGGGAAGAGATTTCATCCTTTCCATGTGGGGGAAAGGAGACTGTCCGCTATGGATTAACTTGGTGCTGGCACTGTCTTTGCCAGGCATCTTGCTAGCCTGAGAATCTCGAAGGCTGGATTTCAGATTCTTGTTTCTCTCTTTGTATATTTGTTTTCCTTGAACTGCTTCCTTCTCCTTTGCTTTTTAATAATCGCATACAGCATCGTCTTCTAACCCACGTTCTTGACCAGCCTTTCAAACACACACATACTGCTTTACACGTTTCATCTCCTTGTCGCCTTAGTCTATATATACACTGTTGACTTCATTAAAATTATATAAAGTGCCATTCTAGTTTCCTGGATGACCATCTCTCTCTCTCTTTTTTCCCCACGCAGCTTCTACTTCTACGATTAGTAGTACCATTATTCCTTTCCAGGAATTTCTATATGATTTTGAGAAGCATCATCATATTTAGTGTTATCAGCAAAGACACAAGCTCAAGACTGACATCTTTTCCATGAATCCAGGAAAGGAGAAAAATCCACTCAGTTCAGATAAATCCTAGCAATTCCCAAAGGGAAAGGCATTGGATACGTGCTTGATGAGAAAGAAAATGAAAAAAGAGGGGAAAAAACTCTTCTACCTGCTTCTCAAAACCAGGACATTGCTCAGTCAGATTAATCCCAAAGCAAAACACTGACAAGTAACCAATACACAGCATGTTTTCCCACAGACTATTGGGAAATAATTATTGCTGTTAAATGTGCAGGGTCTGGGCTAAATGCCTTTAAAATGTGCAATTCAACTTTCCACTTCGGAGTGTTGAGGCTTCTCCCAAGTTAGTGGCTGGGCGGAGGGAAATGGTGTCCATTTCTGAGCACCAAGCAGTGTCCACGGCTGAGCACCTCCCTGGCACTCTGTTCCACCTGCGAAGCCCCCAGCAGGCTTCCCCCTCTGCCAGCCCCCGCCCCAGGGCTCCCAGGAAGCCTGGAGCATTCTGTTTTTCCAGACCTGGGCTCTGGCCCGACTTCACTGCAGAGGCCAGGCTGGTCAACAGTGGCAAAATCCCGAAGGGGGTTGGAGGAGCCAGACAAGAAGAAACAAACATTCTAAATAGTCTCTCCTGCAAAAGAACACTTCTGGGAACCTTGCTTTAAATCTTATTTTCCTTTCTCTCAAAAAATGACTGTTTAACATAAGAAAAAGAAAGAAGCCTCCTTGACACGAAGCTTTTGTTATCCAGTTGATCAGCAATGTGCTTTAGATACTTGTAAGGGGGGAAAAAGCCCCACAATAGACATTGATTTTAGAAAATCAATAACCAACATTTAATAAAAGGAACAGAGGAAGCACAAGAGAGAGGGGGGCACTAGGTGTAATTTTAGTGTCTACTAAATTACCCGGAGATGGGGAAGGGGAGGTCTCCAGTGTAAGGACCACCTTAAATAATGCCAGACACTAGAGTGAAGAAAAAATTAAATTAAGAGAGGGAGGGAGAGAGAGAGGGAGAGGGAGAGAGAGAGAGAGAGAGAGAGAGAGAGAGAGAGAGAGAGAGAGAGAGAGAG